TCCATCTCCTTCGTGTCTGCTGCTTCCTTCACCTTCTCCTCTTCTCACTTTTAACTTTTTCTCCTTCAAGTCTCAGATCCTGACTCCGTCTCCCTACTTACCGCCCTCCTGTCCTCCCCGTACCGCGTCTTTCACCCACCTGAACTTCATCAGTCTCCTGGCATCTCCAACCTCCTCACCCTCCTTCGCTCCATAATTTTCACCCTCTCCACTCTCTGCTCTCCTCCCTCCCTCCCTCACTCCTCTCTGTGTCCTTCTTCCACCCTCCTAATCAGAACCATATGTTGGAGACGGAGGCAGAGAGATCTGACGATGGACAGGATTGCGTTGTACTATGTGGAGAGTGTGCAGCCCTTCAGGAGCCAACCAATGTGCACATTTGCGTGCAAACGCTGCATGCGCACTCGTGGTGTTTTGGCCTGCGTGCGTGTGAGGCTGACCGCACGTGTGGTCCAGATTTTGCAAGATTTCCATCTCCTTTGGCTGTTTGTCCTTCTGATCCGGGTTCCCATAATCCTCCAGTCATTCCTGTCTTTCTGTCACCTTCATCTCCCTGTCTTCTTCACACCTCTCTTTTCATCACCTCTCTGCCTCCCCCTGGTGGCTGTGATTATCAACACATTCTCATTCCTCCCTCCAAGTCTGGGACTGTGTAATGCATTTGAATAGTTTTGCCAAAAATGTGATGCGCTGTTTGTGTGTGTGTGTGTGTGTGTGTGTGTGAGAGAGAGAGAGCGCTCGTTATTGTTTCCAGATCTTAACACGCACACGCCACTCAGTGACACACACTGAGAGTGAAAAATGTGGCAGATCTCAGTCGGTCTCCTCTGTATTTACAGCACTCTGTGAGTCTGATCAGCAGCATGGACCAAAATACAATGGGGGAAATTGAGGCGTCTGGGGTGTACTTACAACCTGCTGAAAATGAAAAGCTTTTTACAATTAGACTTCGGGGTTTTATACTGCAAGTCATCTTCCAAAATAATTGTGTCTGATGTGAAATGGTGCAGCTCTCACCAAAATACTGATTCTAGTCTGTCTGCTCTGATACGTGCTGTGCCATCGTGGACTAATCTCTTATTCTTTTCTTCTCTCTCTCTCTCTCTCTCTCTCTCCCTGGCTCTTATTTCCTCTCTCCCATTCTTCCGCCCTCATCATCAACTCTCCGTCCATTCCTGTCTCTGTCTGTTTGTCTGTCTGGTTCTCCTACAACAGCAACCATGGGCAAACGGGAGCAGAGGGGAGAGGCAGAAGTATGTGAGTTCTCCACTGCAGTATTGATGACCCAATGATCCCCTGCACAACAGAGCCAGTCAGGCAGACAGAGTGAGGCTCAACTCAGAATCAGAATCAGAATCAGAATCAGCGCCACGACCAGTGGAAAAAAACAAACCACCACTCGGGGTATGAATGGTAAATGCAATTTAACACCGTAGTGCTGCTGCTGCTGCTGCTGCTGCTGTGTGGGTGGCACACTTAATAGAGTAGAGTGCATTCCTGATTAGGTCCATGGCCTAATGCCAAAAAAAATGTTGATGATTCTATCCCATTACAACAATTTCCTTAATGCCTGAGATGTTGGATATTTATTTGTACAGTTTGTTCATTACCTTACATCTGCTGGACTTCATGTATACTTCTGCCCTCAGGTTCTTAAATCTACTCGGTAGCCTTTAGTGGAAGACGGCTACAAATCACCCCTCCATCTTCTCGTCTACCAACAAAACCGCACACTGAATGAGTGGCCTGTCCGATCACCTCTTTCCCGGCCAATCAGGGGCTCCGTTGGGCTGTGGTGGGAACCAGGTGGAGGAGAAAAGCTGCGTGGGGATACTCGAGGAGCTGGAAGGCTCTGAGCTTTGGACCAGGGAACTAGATTTCCAGGCGGACTCCCAGGATCCCTCTAGCGATGGACTGGTTCAGGTGACATCCGACCACTTTGCCAACCCGTCTCCTGCTGCGCTGGCCAACGGACTCCGCCTGCAGAGAAGGCTGGGCTACAGCTCCTGCCGACGGAGGCAGACTCAAGTCCACTCTTCCGCCGAGACGCACTCCTTCGCAGAGACTCTGAGAAATATGCAAACACGCATAGACCCAGATATTCAAGGACCTGCCGTGTCACACGCACAGGTGGATAATGGTGCACACATGGATATCAACTCACACACAGTGTCTGTAGGGTCTGAACACCTCAGAGCTCTCACTCCAGAGGCCATGCACACGCCCTCACCTAAACCCTTGTCTTTGGTACTTGGTAATCACCCCGTCTCCACCAATCAGCAGGCAGCTGCAGTCCTGGCAGAGGAGAAAGACTTCTCCTCAACCTTTTGTCCAGTCCCAATTGGCCCAGACCCGACTCTGACCTCCTCGTCTCACCCCGTGGAGGCAGAGAAAAAGTATGCACTCCGCAGCTCCGGACGTCCCCGCTTTCCCTGCAACCTGCGCAAATCCTCTCGACTTCGCCGAAGTTTAGAGGACGTGGAAAAGACGGCGGTGAAGGAGAAGGAACTGGAGGAGCAGAACAAAGTGCTGGAAGAGGCGATCTGGAAGATTAAAGAAGAGGAGGCAGCGATCTTTGAGAAAGATGAACACCCGCCTGTGAATGCTGTTCTCCCCCCGGCTCCGTGCCCTACAGATGTAGCGCCGACTCTACCTGTTCAACCCAGACCTGCTCCCAAAGCTTTTAAACCTGGGCCCAGACTCGGACACAGGCCTGGGCCTAAATCTAGGTGTAAGCCTGCACCGAAGTACGTCCATAAAGCAGCTCCGAAAAGTATCCTGAGACAGCGCCAGGCGGCACTGGCTCGGTGTGTGGCCCAAGGTCTGTCGTCGATGGACGCCTCAAACATTCCTGCGTCTCTGTTAGCTGTGAAGGAGGAACCTGATTTGGGACTGTACCCTCCCCACAACCAGACAACGAGACATAAACGTTATGTTGGTGTAAGTTATAATAATGTTACAGATCACAGTATTTACTCATTAGCATTTACACATTGTCACGAGTACTTAAATACACAGTACTACAAGTACAGCTCCAGTCTTGTTTACTCCCCACATGTTTGACTCAGAGAGGACCAGTGTATCAGACACTGCTAATGTACAGATTTAGTCTGATCTTTGACCGTCGACTGCTCACTCAGTTATTTTCAGTTCAGGCATTAAAGCAGACATTTCCCTCTGTGCTTTCACAAATGATCTCTGCTCCTCCAGATTCCTTTTTTGGCTCTAGTGACTTCTGAAAGATGTCAGATTCCTTTGGGAAGAATTCTAGTCTGTCTAAAAGTAAACACGTATTCTAATTTTTTACAAAATATGAAAATAGTTGACTTAAAAAGGCTATTGTACACAAATCTGCAACATATTTACCACATACACATACAGTCTTCAAGAGACCCCCCCCAAAAAACACTGCACAGATTCCAAACTCCTGGCTTGCGGGCCAAAAGTCAGCTCATCCAGCCCACGATTAAATGACAATAATAATGAAATTTACTTGTTGAATTTGCAATTGTTCTTTTCATTTGTTAAATTGCTTTAATTAATAACTTAAAAATGAGGAAATTATATAGTTTGCACTGTGTTATTAGATATATTATATATATATATATATATAATATCTATAAATGATTTGTAAATGAATGTGATTTTCTTTGTCTATTTCCTAAGTTGTTGGGGTTTTTTTTTATGAAATGATTTGCACCAAACATATTTCGTAGGAGAAGAATGAGTGATGATATGACTAAATATGCAAATTTATACAAATATAAAAGTAGGACGAAAGCACAGATTTCTTTTGGAGTAAGACGGGATAGGTCTCTTAATGGATAGGTATAAAAACAATTGAGTTCAGATGATGAGACTCTTCCTCAGAAGGAGGCTCTGTAATGGTTTAGTGCTGGATTTCCCCTGGTGACATAGAGTACTTGTACAGTTATCTTTAAATAAGCACAATTGGAAAATGATTTTTTAAATGATGACATGAAATAAAAGGTAAATATCAAAATACCATGCTGTATTGACATGGTAATTGTGGAATAGTAAATTTAAACAAGGATTTTAAAAGATCGACTTCTTCCTTTAGATAAAACCTTTCATCAATGATAATTTGAGTTAAATACTAAAAATATTCACCCTTTGATACCACTTACTGAAAATGAATGGTATAAACAGGAAGTATTGTTATTTTTAATGTTTATATTTTCCTGTGCTCCACAGGTGAGGAAGATTGTTGTTAAAGTTGCGCGTATCCCTGTCAGCCTGAGTCGCAGACAGAAGAGCTACAAGATCTCTAATTTGGAGACAGTGGCGGGAACAGAGAAGAGCACTGACGGCAGCATGGAAGGCCCAGAGATAGCCCGGGAGCCAACTGCACTTCTCCGCATGAAGAACAACGGGAAGGGCGTTATGGTGATGTTCCCTCCTGGAGAACTGCCTGTTATTCTGAAACGCAGACGAGGGCGACCACCTAAACAGCCGGTGCCAGGGATACCAGGAGAGCCTCCAGCTGCTGCTAACACCGGTGGTAACGGAGAGCAGCCCAAAAAACCCCGGCGACGGCGTCGAACTAAACTCCCCTGTCCTTTCCCATCGTACGTAAATGACACTAACGACGTGAAAACAGAATATGCCGACGTCCTGTCCAAGCTGGCCTTCTTGAACCGACAGCCTCCTGCCACTGGCCGCTGCTCTCCACCTCGATGCTGGACGCCCAGTGAGCCGGAAAGTTTTCAAGCCTCCTTGGAAAACCCCGGCATATCCACCCTACTCCACAGGCTCGGGGGCAGCGAGCACAGTAAGAGCACCTTCAGTGACTTCTTTGAATCTATCGGCAAGAAGCGGAAACTGAGCCCGCTCACCGAACACGGACAGCCACGGAAAAGGGGTAAGGGGGTGGGTGGGGTAGGGAGGGGTGGCGGTGTTGCAGGAACGGAGCCAGGGGGGGAGAAAATAGTCAGGAAGAGACGGATGAGGAAAAATGGGGCATTTAAAGAGGAGGGCTTTTCGATGGGCCCAGACTGGCCTAATGGGGCAGGAGGCTGGGAGGAGGGCTGCATGGAGAAGGAAAAGGGTCTGGGTGGGTTTCAGCTCTGCGGCTCTGTGAGGGGAGGCTTTTCCTCCTGTGAACTCAGCAGGGGAGGCACCTACAGCAGTCCAGGGGGAGGGAGAGGGGGAGGGCCAGCAGGGGAGGACTCCCAGGGCCTTTTCCCTGGATATTTCCGGTCCCTGCTGGACTCCGACGACTCCTCAGATCTGTTGGACATCTCGCAGACAGACTCCCGCAAACTGTCCTCCACCCCTGGTTATGAGCCATCCAGCCCAGCCTCTGGCCCCAGCTGGACTCCTGGGTTCTCCAAGTGGTGCTCCAAAGGAGCCAGCACTGCAGGGGAGAGTTCAGGTCAAACACATAGCTCCTCATCCAAGCCTCCGTACAGCTACGGCCTGGCCCAAACATCACCCACCACCTCCACCTACCCCAAATCCACCCCTTCGTCTCTGTCGCACTCCCCTGGCTCACCTCACCCTGCCTCCTACGGGCAGTTCTCCTCTGGCTACTCCTCCTCCTCTTCTCCTGCGGCCTCACAGAGATCCTCAGACTGCAGCTTTGCCTTTGGGCCCGGACACAGCGGAGGAAAAGGCGCTCCTGCTGGACACATGGGTTACTCTGGTTACCAGGCAGCAGCCAAGAGAGGGTTTGGATTTCCTCACTCCTTAATGGTTCGTGGAGAGACAGCAGGGCCGTCATCACCTGGAGGAGGATACATGTCCATGAACAGAGGGAGTCCATTCAGCTCCGCCTCCTCTCCAGACGGATTCAAACCGTATGGTTCCAGCCAGTGGAGCTACAGGTACCTGACCCTGAAGTTTCATTCCATCCCATTCATATTCGCTACTGCTTCCTTTCCTTCTATTATTATTACATAAAATTATTATATTTAATTTGTTTTACTCCAATAGATATTGTTATAATTGCTAGTATCACCAGAGGAGGGGGCTTTACTGTGTATAATTTGTTTGTATAAAAAATAACCATCATATTTACTGTTAGTCCTTTAGCAGTTGAACTCACTTTTTTAAGGATTATTTAAACTACCATCAGAGATCAGTTCAACTTTCTCTGATTCTCGGGTTCAGGTGCTTGTTGTCAAAGTCATGTTTTTTGATTTTGTGTATTTTAATTTGTGCGTCTGTTTTCCCTTCAGACAAGGTTACGGTGGCTGGCCGTCAGAGGGCTTTGGTTCCCAGTATCACGGCTACAGTGAGTACGGCTCCAACGAGTCCAAAGACATCCTGGATATTTCTAACTACACTCCACAGAAGGCTAAGAGACAGACCTTCCCTGAGAGTCTGTCGGAGTCGTCCTCGGACTCTTCGCACCTGGGCCCTGTCGCCACCACTAATGGTCCCGTCTCCGCCGGTGGCCCGTTCAAACTCAGCGAGCATGCTCCTGGGAGCGGAGATGGGGGTCAGTCCAGTCTGTCTAGCCTGGAGAAGCTGATGATGGACTGGCATGAGAGCGCATCGGGCCCCTCGTACAACTGGAGCCAGAATGTTCTCTTTCAGGGCGGAGGAACCGGCAAACCCGGCCGCGGACGCAGGAAACGAACTGAACCGCAGACAGAAAAGGAGGGGGTCTCTGCTTTACACTCTGACTCACAGTCCAGTCCTTCGCCGACGCCTGCACCCGGACCTAAGCGCGGAGGAGGCGGTGGACGGGGCAGGGGGTCCAGAGGAGGCAGAGGGGGGCTGTCTTCGTGTCAGAGGGACAGACCCTCGGGTCGAGGCAGGGCTAAGGCTGTTCCTAGTTCTGCCGCAGCAGGAGTCATGTCTGCTCCGGAAAATTCTGGACTGTTCCAGGAGGTGCTGGACTATTACAGTGGTGACAGTAGCAGCCTCTCCCCCTTGGCCACGCCCACTCCTGCACCAGCTTCCAGTTTCCTCCAGGACCCCTGTGAATACCCCTCCCCTTATTCTGCCCATCCTTCTACACCTTCGTCTGAAGAGCGATATCCAGCCTTGTTCCCTGGAGAGTCCTCCTCCTCCCTGTCACCGAGTGTCTCCTCTCCTCCTTATCCTCCCAAACCCACGCCTCCTCCACCATCTCAGTCCTACCACCCGGTCCCGTCCAGAACCTTCTCTCCCTCTTGTTCTCCGTCACCCCGGGTAACGCCACACTGCAGCACCGCAATGAGTCCCCCGCACCGCCCTCCTCCGAAGGACCCACAGTTCCCCCAGTACGACTCGCCCAGCTACTGCAGCTCCCCCTACTGGTATGGACAGACATCACACAGTGGCAGCCCCAGTCCCCAAACGCACGGCGCACACTCAAACACGCACAGCAGCCAACACACGAGCCCGCACGGAAACCCAATCGCAAGTCCAAACGCCAACACACACTCACAGCTCGTCCAGAATCCTCACGAAACTCACCATCACAACACACAACCTCACACCAACCTGAGCTCGCACACCAACACCCATTCCAACTCCCATCTCCAGAGCAACTCTCTCACCCACTCCAGCCCTCCCCCTAAGGGTCAGTCCCACCATAACACGCTCGCCAACGCCAGCGCTCACCTCACACACTCCAACCCCAGCCCCGGCCTCCTCTCCCACTCCACACCCATGCTTTATGAGGAGCTGAGCCCTCCCTCCGCCATCTTCTCCCACAAGCGGGATCTGACCCCCCACCTTATGAGCACAGGTCATCGCCAAGTCCCCCTGCCTCACCCCTCGTATCCCAAACCTTCTCTGGACCTCACGCCTCATCAGGAGGACGCTGGTGGCTTCTCCCTCTCCCACCAGTCCTTCCAGGGCATGGGACAGCATTACCCGTCCCAGGTGGCTCAGGGGGGAGGTGGGGTGTTGTGCCAGCTCCTGGACCCAGCCAATGATGACAGCTTCAGTGTCACCAGCCTGTAACAGCAGGTGAGTTTGTGTGATGTGCTGATAAAGATTGCAGAGGATTACCAGTGGAGGAGGTTATTGAAAGCCTTAGCAGCATTATTTAAACTGAAATCAATGATCCAGACTCAGGACGCATTTTCATCAGCTTTCATATTATGTCGTAAAAAATATTTACCAAGAAAAAGAAATAAAAACAGAGAGTACATTTTGTAACACAGCAAAAAGGCCACAACATATTATTTTTTTACAATAAACAGATACCAAAATGTTTTTTTAGGCCAATCAAACTTCAATTTCCTCCTGTCGTTTTTTAAATATGTTACCTTCATTTTTGTGGTTTTGTTTTTATCCTGATAAAAATATGCATCAACAAGGAACAGAATTTGATTTTCCACGTTGAGAAAATGCATGACTTGTCAGACTTGACTTCTTCTTCCGTCAAAGTGTTTCTGGACTCTTACTTCCCAAATTGCAGCTCAAGCATGAAATCAAATTAAAATTCGTAGTTTGATAAACGTTCAAGGTATGTAATCAGATAACACATGCTCCGGGGCAGATTTTTACAAAATGGCTCCAGATTGTTGTCCTCTTGGACAGCACCGCAGATCCATTACAGATGAAGAATCTGGACGCAGCGCAGATTAGAACCAGAACAGACCCACATGTGCTCACGGAGCTGCTCTGCTCCGACAGGCCTGGTCCAATTTACTAACTGGTTATGAAGCAACGCACAGAGGATTCGATGGATCCTGGACTGGTGCCCTGCTTCCTGATCTGGTCCACATCACATCAGGGTCCTCCTTGGACCTGGACCTGGTTGTAGATGAGGTTTGAGGTCTGTACAGGTGGAGTCCCTTCAGCAGCCATTTTGATGTGACGCAGCGAGTAGATCTAGTCTAGATTTTCTACACTGTCTATAACGGCATCCACACATTGATGACTCGATGTTCTGTGTGTTGTAGATGTTGACTATATTGATGTGATTGGACGACTGTTGATATCCCCCGTCTTCTCTCTCTCTTTTTCCTTCTGTCTCTGATTTCTTTCAGGTCCATTGAGTCCAAGCTTTTACAGATTTGCAAGCTTTTTTTTTTTTTTTTCACGTTTTTTTGACTTCTTTTAAGTGACTGTGAAATGAAGGGTGAGAATTTAGCCTCCAGCTTTGGACAGTAGAGCTTTAATTCTCCAGCAATGACAATCAGAATCAGCCACAACTTTAAAGACAAACCCCCCCCCACACACACACACATATACTGAAACACACGCACAGATACATACGCTAATGTGCAGATCAATCGACTACCTAAACTGAACACATAAAATCATACATGTGTGCACCCACTCACACTCTGTGCTGGAATGAGGGAATGGCCAAGAGGAGCTGACAGATGAGAACCAGACGCTGACGGACACAGACAAAAAAAAACTATTTCTTCATCCTCCTGAGTCCTGCTGTGGTACATGGAGGACTTCCCTAAAGTTTGGATCTCGCCAAATCTTTCTAGTGTGTGCATCTGCAGTGTGGACCAACTACGGTCACACTGCTCCCTCTCTCTCTCCTTCTCTCCCTCTCTCCCCCTCTCCCTCCGTTTCTTTTCCTCTGTCCTCCTTCAACTCCCCTTCTTAGCTAAACCAGCAACCGTGTTCTGCACTTGACTCGCCAAAACTGCATTTCTGTCTTGTGCGCTAACCTGAAACCACATCTGAGCCCAGAATCCAACTTTTGGAATACCATGAGCCTTGCAAAATGTTCCGCTCTGTGCACTCCTCGTGTTGTGTCCCATCAGAGAAAAGTGGACTGAACACAGTCCCTGCTCTTAAAATACCAGCATCTGTACATACAACTCCAGCTCCACCACCAGGGGCCCTGCTCGTCACTCCGATGGTCCGTCATCCTCACGCCCTCCTCAGCGTTCCGTCGTGATTGCTATGCTCTGTGCGGAGCGAGTCGGGTTTTGGTGTGGGGGTGTCCAGGGGTTGAGGGGGGCTGCAGCATGGAGACTCA